GAGGGGGTAGCTGCGGTGGGCTTGTGGGGTCCCAGGGCATGTTTGGAGGAGCATATTGGTGAGATCTGAGTAGCGGTGTAGTGCATGCAGTGGGACAGGGGACAGCATTGGTCAATGTGTATGGTTGAAAACAAGCTTGGACATAGCGTGTGGGGTTTGTAGGAGTATTTTGGAGTAGGTAAAAAAAAGGTGCGGGATCACTGAGGAGTTGGGCGGTGGGCTTGTGGGGTCCCAGGGCATGTTTGGAGGAGCATATTGGTGAGATCTGAGTAGCGGTGTAGTGCATGCAGTGGGACAGGGGACAGCATTGGTCAATGTGTATGGTTGAAAACAAGCTTGGACATAGCGTGTGGGGTTTGTAGGAGTATTTTGGAGTAGGTAAAAAAAAGGTGCGGGATCACTGAGGAGTTGGGTGAACAGGTGGCGTGAAGGTGTTAATGGGGAAGTTGGAGGGTGCTGTGCACGAGTGGTTGAATAATTGGTAGAAAGGGACAAAAAAGCAAATACATAACGAAAATATTATTAACACGTTAACATTCTGGGAATGGGGAGATCAAGTAGTACTTGGCTGTAAAAAAGTTCCTGATATGAGGGCTAGAAAGAATATTGAACAGTATAAGGAACAAAGTATTTTATCAAAAAGTAATGACCTTAAAAGAAGTGTGTAAGTTCTTGTATACAAGAATGAGAAGTATGAGAAAGAAATCAACAAGGAAAATGGCCTATTTGCTCCCTGGATATACATTTGCTAGAATGATGCTGATTTTTCATTGGTGGCTTCTAGGTGAGCTATAACAACAGCGAGTTATCTGCAACGAAATGTATAACATTAGCAATTTATCTGAAAATTTTATTGCAGAGATGGGAAGCAATAAGAGGAACTAGTTAGCATAGACTTATCTGTTCAACTACGGGGAAGAATAGTATACAGCAGAGGTGGGGAACCTCAGGTTTGGGAGCTGCATGCAGCCTCCGGCTTGCCTGGATCTGTCTCCAGAGGTTCAGGGCCTCCCTCACCCAGCACTGGGGAGCCCATGCTGCCGCTCCAGCCCCCTCGCTGCCTCATCGCGGGGTTGGAGCACACAAAATCTACTAGTCTGGGCCCCACTAGGCTCTGGTGTGCAAGGAGAGTGTAGAGAGTCTCATTCCTCAACCAGGGACCACGTTTTTTTGGTTTGAGATTTTTTTGCTTCTCACTTGTGTGCGGCCCCTCCGACAGATTTTAATGTGGGTCAGTGGCCCCGACCCAAAACAGGTTCCCCATGCCTGCTCTAGATCCTCATATCCAGGCTATAGAATCATAGAATACTGGGAGGGACCTCAAGAGGTCATCAAGTCCAGAGGTTGTGGAATCTCCATTACTGGAGATATCTAAGTCTTGCAGGTTTTTTCAGCATTATACCTCTCAGATGCAGCATTTTCTATCCATCCAACTAAAATTCCTGTCCAAGCTCTCCTTATCTAGTCTTAGTCACTGAAACATTCTTCTGTCTGACTTTGACTAATGCAACTTTTGTCCTACTCATATCCATTCAGCATTGACATAAAGATCATTTTCCTAGCTTTTTCTGCTGACAAACCTTTTTGGACCCTTCCACAGGACCCATTTTTCCATTGCATGAAACATAAGCTATTTATCCTCACTTTGAACGCCCTTCATGGTCTACTCCTAACTTACAATCGTATTCACTATTGAGATGTCAACGCCCGTCTCCAATCGGTCTACGATACCAGCTTCCATCACTCGTGTTAAATTTCCAAACAAGCATCTTCTGTGCTTTCTGTCATGCTGACCTCATGCTTGAGAGAAACATCAGCACAAGGATTATCCCGCTTCAAAGCCTTACTTAAAACTTTATCATGGTGTCTGCAAGAAACTTGATCAGTCAGGCTGCTGCTGTACTGTTTCTTTGTACTCCCGTCTGTCAGTCTGTAGCCATCTGTTGTGTTTTGTTATATGTAGGCCATATCTACACTAACACTCATGATGGCAAAACTTTTGTTGCACCTCAATGTGAAAAACACAGCCCTGAGCAACGCAAGTTTTGCCGGCATAAGAACTTATGTGCACAGCACTACGTTGGCAGGAGATGCTCTCTCACCAACATAGTTACTGCCATTTCTTGAGCAGGTTTTATTATCTAAATGGGAAAGCTCTCTCCCATCAGCATAACGTGGCTACATGAGTGCTCTTACAGCAGTACAGCCACTGTAACCTTGTAACTGTAGACATGGCCTTTACAGGATACAGGTTTGAGTGACGGGCAGGATGAGGGTGTTGTCCAGAAATGAGAGATTGAGTGACTATAGGTGTAGTGAAATCAAAATGGCCCAACATTGGTGTCATGACAGTGAAATGCTATTTTTATTATGCACCATTTGATCAGAAGAGATAACAAAAGATCATCATCATCATCATCCTGGAAGTACAGCCTGGGTGTGAACTAGGAAAGCTAGTAAGACAAAGCCTTCAGGTGTCTAAATTGAAGTAGAGGCATGTGACAAAAAATAAAGCAAATTGTAGTTCTGTGGACGAGGAACAAGATTGTTCTTGTGCAATATTATATGTTAAAAGAACTAGAAAGGGAGGGACTGTTCCCTTGCTTGCTTCTGAGCAATGCATATGATATTCTTTAAAAACAATGACCATACACTTATTACATATGTAATCCTGGTGAAAGACTTAGCAATCTTCACACTTGTAATAGAGCTAAATAAATGATTTCCTTCTTTGGCTCTATATTTTGGACTTAGTCATGGTATATTTTAGGCTTCTGTATATGAAAGCTGGTTTTTTTGCTCCACCTCATGTAACATCACTTCTCAAAATGTTTTCTGATAACCAGCTACCCCTTCAGATATTAATAGTCACACATACTTAAGTTGTTAATACTTTTTAGAGTAAATATGGCCTTAATGGAATGTATCCGTCTGTCTGGAATTCATTTTCCAAAAGGAATAGTAAGTCTTCAAATACATAATGGGTTTTCCCAAGAATTGTTACTTATCTAGGAGGAGTCAGTTGTTCATAGCTCTTTAGCCTGTGGGAGATTGCATACCTGGGGTCTGATACAGGTACTGGGATATAATGTGTGGAGTCTTTCATATTTAGGCAGTATCTTGCAAAGTTAGGTGATGACCAAAAGTTCATTATCTAATATCTGCCTTAAAAATGTTGACATTGCAAAAACATGTGTTACTTGGTAGAGATGTGAGTGACTAGTCGACTGCCTGATAAGCAGGGCTTGACAATCTCTGTAATATACTCACCCGTTGTGAGTAGATTACATCCCGGAAGAGCTGGGTTCAGGCGATCTGCGCATGCGCAGAACAATCTGTGCAGAACGCCGAACAACGCGGCTTGGCAAGCCCTGCTGATAAGCAAATCTAGTTTCTCTTCACCACCACCACCACCCTGCTGCCTCTATCAGAGAGAGGCAGCAAGGGGGGGAGCAGGAGCCGGTGCTGGGGGGAAGGAGCGGCAGAGGCACAGTGGGGAAACAGCATGAGCAGGGACTTGTGCCAGGTTCTGACTGCGGCACTCCTGCTTTTGAAATGTAGCAAGAGCCCCACTACTCGATTAGCTGAGTAGTTGAAATTTAACATCCCTGTTACTTGGCCCACCTGTTGATCTCAGTAGAGCTCAAAGACCATGAATGGACAATGGAACCCTTTTCACTCTGGTGTTGCTCCTCCAGAATAGGTAAATAGCTGGAGCAATGTGGGAAAGCTGATATTTCCATTACCCTTGTCCTTGTTCATAGATTATACCAAGTCTCCTGAGTTACAGACGCTATTTTTTCACACGTATTAAAAATAGATAGGGAAGTGATCCAGTGATTTTTGCCCTGATCATTTCAAATAGAGACCAATTAGCAAAGTAAATTTTGGATCAGGGCTACTCAACATGTGGTCCATGGGCCATATGCAGCCGGCAGCCTGTTTGTTTGCGGCCTGCAGCACAGTTTGGGTTTATGTGGGGCTAAGCATGCGACAACACGGGTGGAAGCCAAAACAAAAAAGTAGTCAATATAATGGTCCTCTGTTGATAAGCATTTTAGTAGTTAAATTCCTGGACTCTCGTTGCTTATTTAAAGTGCTGTCATATGGGTGGAAATCAGGTAAATATTGCATTTTTGCAGAACTCGTGTAGTGTGGCCCCTGGGGTTTCCAAAGTTAAGTAGCGCTGTTTTAGATGATTGAGGACTTTGACCATCAGAAGAAGTAATTATAAAATGCTCGTAAAATTCACTGTGCTGTACTACTGTTATTGTATGCTATACAGTGGTCTCAGACTTGTAGTTCAAGGTAGGGATACTAAATGTAGTTGAATCAACTAATCATCCAGTCGATGGATTTTCCATTGACTATTCCAGTGTTTCCCAATTTTATTTGGACATGGAATCCTTAGGGTTTCCTTAAAAAAAACCCGCTACTGTGTTTCATCGAGGGAGGGTGGGGGAAAGGCCCCACTGCTGCGTTTCATCAAGCAATACAAACAAACAAAAAAAGAGCCCCGGCGTGGCTGTTTCTTTAAGAGGGGGCAAGGGAGTGGCGGCTCTTTGCAGAACCCTTGCTTTCGCTTCGCGGAACCCCAGGATTCCACAGAGCACCAATTGGGAAACACTGGACTAGTCAATTAGTTGGTAAGTGTGGGAGCCAGCAGGCTTTTAATACATTTAAAAACAGAGGCATGTCTGGCACTGGTCATGAGCCAGCAATCAGCTGATTCCCGGCTTGCACCCGATCCCCAGTACACCCCTGCGCCCCTCGGAGATGGTACTGGAGGGAACTGACTTAAGCCGGCTCCCACAGCAGCAGGGGGGGGGGGAGATATTGACTAGTCAAAAGACTATCCAACAAGCATTTGCTTATCGGATAGTCAACTTGTCACTTACATCCCTAGTTCAAGGTGCAGCAAATTAGCATACTCCAAGCTTTGTTCTAATTCGCATTGATTCTCTGGTGATTTTTTTATTAGGCTATAAAGCAAACAAACAAAAACATTTGTTCAGAGATTCTGAAGTAGTTGATACCGTTGACCTCAAGAATGTAATTTTTTTTAACAGTCAATTTGATTTTGCGGTTGATATTTCAGAGTAGAACAAAGACAGCTACATATTTTTCCAGGAACTCTTATGGTATACTGAATTTCCTGCCCAAGATCGCTCTTGCTCATTTGTACATGTGATTAACTTTTGCTCCATGTAAGTGTCATTAGAACTGTAGCCAAGCAAACATTTGAACAGATGGTTGGTGACAGTATTAACTTTCTGCTCTGGATGTTTAATGAGATCTGAGATTGTAACATGAGGTTCTTTCATTCTGACTGTCTCACATGGCAGATATAGTATATGAGAGTGTGCTTGTTGCTCAAGGTTATAGTAGATTCATCAGTCAAAAAAAAGGCCTTCCCATTAATCTTTTATCTGCTCAGAAACCTTTTTTTATATTTCAGGAGCAATGTTGTTACATGGAATAACATTCCTGATTTCAGGCCAGCAGGATCCTGAAGCTTAAAAGGGTTAAATTAATGTAAGAATTGATTGTTTTGCTTAGACCGGTTGTATTTGTTCCATTGTATGAGATTTTGTTCTCATTAATTTATGTCTAGTGTTTCAGAAGGAAAACAATTAATTGGTTCCCATGTTCTCTATCATACCCACATCTGCTTAAGGTTGCCCAATCCCTCCCATTGTAAGACTGTTTTTGCTTGCTTATAACTTTACCAAACCATTACCATTAGAGCTGAAATTTTCCATGCTGTAGATCTACTTCAGGCTGAATATTTTTGGAAAGTTCAGAAAAAAATAGTTAGACATTTCTGAGAACAAGGTTAGGGGAAAGCGTTTTGCTTGTGCTAACAAATTTTAAAACTGTTTTTAAGAAGCTGTAGTACCTCTGTGCTTTTGAGGAGGAGTATAATATTCTGCAGGGGGGTGCTTTTGTGACTGAGATGTGTAGTGTTCGCTTTTCCTCAAATTCCCAGTTTTGGCCAAAATTATAAACCTTTGAAAAAATCTGTTTGACTCTGCTAAGTAGAGACTTGCTTGTTCACTAAATTGATAGATTTCAAGGCCAGAAGAGGGACAGTTATGATTATCTAGTATGATCTGTATAAGACAACCCATAGATCTTCCCCAAAATAATTCTCTCTAGAGTTAATCTGCCCTTTGTATGCTCAGGGCTCTTGATTGCAGATCACATGCACCATCCTCACAGAGAGACTGAATGCCCTCCAAGACAGGGCAGGCAAAATATGGCCTGCAGTTCACATCTGGCCCGCCAAGCCATTGGATCCAGCCTGTAGCCCACCGGGAGCTTTGGGCAAGTTCCTTGCCTGCCACACCCCCTCACGCTGCTCAGAGCAGCTGGCTGAGGGTGCCGTGTGCTTTTCTGAGCTCCATGAGCTGGGGAAAGGGCAAGAAGGTTCACACACTGCCCTCACTCCCAGTGCAATCTTCCAGCTCCCATTGCCTAGAAACTGGCCAATTAGAGCTCCCTGGATTGTGTTTGCAGGGCAGGAAGTGCATGAAGTACCCCCCTCCCAGCACTCGCGGCACTCATAGAAACACATGGCCCCTGCAGCCGGCCACTTTGAGCCTGCCTGAGGGACCAGCGGGGCTCCTGGCTGGGAGCCACCTAGGAAACTGCCTCCCAGTCAGAGCCTGTACCTGGCACCTCAACCCCTCCTTCCCCCCCAAAACTGTCTCTCCCCCCTCTTACATCCCTACCCCAGGTCATAACCCTAATCTTCTGTTCTGCCGCTCCTGCACCCATGCCTCCTCTCAGACCCAGTACCCCAATCACCTGCCCCAGGCCACAACCCAAAACCCTACACCTGCTCCTTCACCTCTGACCCAGGTCACAACCTCCTCTAAGATTCTGCACTACCTCCTGCATCCTTCCTCCAGGTCAAAGTCCTCCCTGCACCCATACCCCCTCCTAGACCCTGTACCCCAATCCCCTGCCCCAGATCAGAACCATCTCCTTCACCCAAACTCTCATACCTCACACCCCCTCCTACACCCTAGTCTCCTACCTGAGCTCCCTTCTGCACCCAACCTCCATCGCAGACCCTGCTCCTCCTCCATTGATATGATGGAAGTGTGTGGCTCCTTGACCATTTACCAAATTCTTGGAGTGGTCCCCCATCAGAAATCATTGCCTCCCCTGTTCCAAGTTATGGCAGTGGGGGCTGAGTGGCGCTTGTGCCTCCTAGCTCCTGAGAATTGCTGTGGCGCTTAACGGAGCCACGGTGGTTCCCCCTGACTGTCCCTAGGCAGTGCAGAGGAGAAAGAAGAGCTTGTCTGAAACACAGGGTGGTGAATGAGGCAGAGGGGGAAAAGAGAAGCAGAGATGGGCAAGAGGGAATGAGCAGGAATAACTTAAGTGGCAGAAAAGAGTACTGTGGATCTAAGCATCCCAACATTACTGATGAGACAAATGGGGGGGGGGGGATCATGTGGCTCCACATGATAGTAGATGTTCTTTGCTTGCTTTCTAAAGACTTTGGTGTAATTTCCTATGTTTAAAAAAAATCAACAAATAGAATTGTCAGGCTTTAATGATGAGATCACATGCTCTTTTTTTTAAACAGTAACCCTGCTTCGTGTCGTGCACCAGACTGATTGTGCTTTGAGAATGAATCTGGATTGTATAGTGATTGTGGCTGTTATCTGTACAACTCCTTCACTAGTTGCAGAAGTTGGACAGCATGTAGTGAATGAGGCAGGAGAGAAAGGAAGGCCTTATGCTTAAGGCAGTTGATTGCCTGCTTGGAGAATTGGACTTGATCCCTGCCCTTGCCACAGAGTTCCTATGGGATGTTGGTCAAGTCACCTTGACCAACGTTTTACAGGCGGTTACTGTGTTATTCTCTGAGCATCCAAGTGGAGAGACCAAGGGTCTGATTTGTGGAAAAGCTAAGCACTTAGAATGGCAACTGAGTTCAGTTGCATTGCTGCTCTGTAATATAAAGTACCGTAAAATACAAATTATTCTGGAAAATTAGTTCTTACTCCAACTGGGTACCCAAAATTAGTTGGCATTTGACAATTTTGGCCCTAATTTCTGTGTCCTGTTCCCTCTATGTAAAATGGGGGTAACAAGACTAGGAATAGAGAGGTAGCCGTGTTAGTCTGATCTTGCTAAAACAGAAGGGAAAACTATGTAGCACTTTAAAGACTAACAAGATGGTTTAATAGGTGATGAGCTTTCATGGGCCAGACCCACTTCCTCAGATCGTATTCTGAAAGAGAATTGGCATGACCATCTATACCAAAGGAATACAATGAAAAAAGTGAACACATTATTAAACTGACAAATCAGATTTAGTACAGAAGGTGGGGAGAGGGAGGGAGGGAGAAAATAGCTTTTTATGAGTCAATGAATGGCTAATCAGGGGTGATAAGTGGGGAAGCTATCTTTGAAATGGTTAAGGTAATTAGCATCTTTGTTGAGGCCCATTTGTAAAGTGTCACATTTAAGCATGAAATAAAGTTCTGAAGTTTCCCTCTGTAATCTGGTGTTAAAGTGTCTTTGAAGTAAGATGAGTGTAGTAAGGTCGTTAAGGCTATGTCCAGGTAGGTTGAAATGAAAAGCAAATGGTTTTTCCTTGTGAAGATGTCTGATGTCTGATTTGTGGGCATTAATTCTTTGGCAAAGTGTCTTGAGAAGTCTGTCCAATATACATAGCAGAAGGACGCTGTTGGCACATGATGGCATAAATTATATTTCCGGATGAGCAGGACTGTGTGTTCTTGATCATATAACTGACATGGTTAGGTCCAGTGAGGGTGTCGCCAAATATATTTACTCTGGTGATGAAGATAAATAGAAATATTGAATAGTTGCCTATTCAGTGAGCACCATCCATTCTGTGCACTGAATAAAGTACGGGTTCTGCTGGAAAAAATAGTGTGTGATCATGTAATTTAGAACTATTACAAGGTGTATCTGCCAGGGGGACTGAATTAAAGAACCTTCATTTTCACATTTCTTAACCCTTTGAGTTCTTTATTTTGTAACTTTAATGTTTTTAACTTAGGGATTTTTGAGGGAGTGTATATAAATATAAGATAAATACATCAAGTTTAACATAAAGTCTCAAAAGAGTAAGAGCTACCAGCTATTTCTTTCCAAAATTTACTGTGCTATATATATATGAAAATCACCATAAACAGGCAGGAATTTCTAAATCCTTTTAATCAGTTACAGATGCCAATGCTGACTTCTACCACCATCTTAGATGTGTGCATGTACTGTCTTAAGATCACTGTTATAATGACCCGTTACTGCAACTGTCACAGTTTAGAGACATATATTAAATCTTATTTTTCTCCTGAAAGCTTCTAACGCTAAGGAACATTTACTTGATAATGCTATCTGGTATATCTGTTTCCACTATACAGCCGGTTCCCAAGTTGCGAATGGTCGAGTTACAACCATTTGCATTTACGACCAAAGCTCCCATGAAGCGGTCGTAAAGGTAGTCCCCGAGTTAGGAACGCGACCCGCGCTTACAAACAGCGTGGTCGCTATGTAACTCAGTGGGGTCCAAGTTAGGAACTGATTGAATTACGGCCAATTGTTTGGTCCATAACTTTTTCGTAACTTGGGGAGAGGCTGTACTGTAATATCAAAGCATTAACCAGTGTTTCTCAAAGTGGTCTGTGGACCCACTCCAAGGGTGCATCTACACAGCACCCTAAACTCGAAATAAGATATGCAATTTGTGCTATGTAAATTGCGTATCTTATTTCTAAACTATTTTGAAATAGCTTATTTTGAAATTTGGTGCATCTACACAGCACCAGATTTCAAAGTAACATGCTATTTCGAGCCATCTCTTTTCCTTCATGCAATGAGGTTTACCGGATGGCGAAATAGTGCACCTGTTATTTGGAAAAATATTTCAAAATAATGGGCAGCTTGTGTAGACATACCCTGAGAAAGTAGCTACCGACCCGCTCCGCTTTGTTTACTTACCAGCTCCCGTTGGCTATTTTTTGCCATTTGCAGCCAAGGGGAGCTGCAGGAAGCAGCAAGGTCACACTGCTTCCTGCTGCTCCCATTGGCTGCAAACAGCAAACCACAGCCAATGGGAGCTGCGAGCTTCCGTGGCTGCAGAGCCAGTAAGTAAACTAACCAGAACGGCCAAGTAGTAGCTTTCTCAGATTGTGTCCGCAGACCACTTTGAGAAACACTGCGATAGAAAGAAAGTCATTGTGCTTTTTTACTCTTCTTTCCAACTTGCAGTCACATCTGAATACCTTCAAGAAGCTGTATGTCATATTAAATGTACTTCTGTAATTTCCTAACTACAGATTACACTCCACTGTAACAGATTTTGTCTTAAGGGTCTCTCTCCCCAATTCATTCATTCTTTTTTTTTTAAACAGATGACCATTCCATTAAGGCCAGGGTGGGCAAATCAGGGGCTGGATCCAGCCCCCCAAACACTTCTTTCCAGACCGCCCAGTTGATTAGCTGACCATGCATACTTACAGCCAGCAGCTTGTGTTCAGCCATTCCTCCCCCCAACTTGACCTGTCCTGCAACTGAGCTGCTCCCAGGATGCTTCTGTTAGTTGTGCGGTGGGAGTGCTGAAGTCAGTGTGTTCCCCTGTCACATACCACATCTCTGCAGAGCAGGGGTTGTAGATGGAGACAGTCAGCAGAGCTGCTCCAATCTGAAGTGTGTGACTCAGGAGTGCAGAATAGGAGTCGGGGGGGTGACGACAGAGCCAGACAGATTTCCCCGCCAGCAGCCAGCACACACGCTGTGTCACTGTCACACACACCCAGTCTGTGCCACATACTGTTGCACGTTCTCCTGTCTATACCACACACACTCAGTTTGTGTCACAAAGTCTGTCTCTTACACACAAAGTGTCACACCCACACAAACATACTCATTCTCTTTTTGTAGTCCCAGTCCCACCCTTTCTGCCTGAGGCTGTGCCCCTTCTGGGAGCAGAGCTGGCCCGTAACCACATACTAAAAGTTTGTGAAGTGGACCCCCTGCAAAAATTATTGCCCACTCTTGCCCTACGGCCAGGCTAATGATGAGACACTAGATGGGAGAAAACTCTCAAAAATATAACTCAGCATTTGTTACTCATCCAGAACTTCTTATTGAGTTAATTGATTTTAAAAGGAATGCAAGACAGGTTGCTTTGGTAAAAGTTTGTGAGCTAAGTGGGTGAAAAGTGGTGATTATGCTTCTGCACTTGTTGGCCTTTGCTCTTTATCACAGTCTGAAATTCTGGAAAGAAACTTGCTGTCTAATTCTTTACTGAACCAAAGATGATGTTTGAAAACACACGCTCTTGGCTTTCAATTATTTAAAATTGCTGGAATGCATTGTATAAATCTTCAAAATGACTCCCCAAAAATGGGGCACCTGTTAAATCATGTAGTTGTGCCTGTTGAACCTCTTTCCTGACTGATTTGTTTCTGAGTGAATATCTACTTGGAGATAAAAAAAACCCCAAACCCTCTATCTGGCCTGGGTCAAGTGACTGGCTTGCGGGGTTCAGACTGCAGGGCTGAAGAATTGCTGTGTAGATGTCTAGACTCTGACTAGAATATGAGCTCTGGGTCCCTGTGAGCAATGACTCTATCTGATCTATCAGTGCTCTTCCTCAAAGGAATTCTGCCCAGCACTTTCAAAAGACAAGCCAGGGAGCTTAAATTCAAAGCCTTTGCTGGACATGGAAAACCATGGTTTTAAAGACACTGGATTTATGGCTTATTACAGCAATCTGTAACCCACTAACCCCCATTTTTGTCCTATGACTAGAGGGGCGTTAACAGGCCACTTTATCTTGAGTAATCCCTCAGTGACAGCTCTGTGTAGCTTGAAAGCTTGTCTTTCTTTCTCTAACAGAACTTGGTCCAATAAAAGATACTATCTCACCCACATTAGAGAGACTGTGTCCTGGGGCCATCCTGGCTACAACAGCAACACTGCATATCATTTTAAATAGACATTCTGCCAGATGTTAACTATGACTGGTTCTAGATGTGTACGTTCTTTGTTTAAAAAAATTGCCCTTAGGATTGCATCCTGAAAAGTGTTGAGCTCGTCTTCAGCACTAGGACCAGCGATCAGCAATATGCATCCCATCAGGATAATCTGATTGCAGGCTGCAAGACATTTTGCTGGCGGTGACCGTCTGTGGGCACCGCTCCCATTGGTCATGGTTCTCTCTTCCCAGCCAATGGGAGCTGTGGAAATGGTATGCAGCACGTCCCTGCAGCTTCCCCTAGCTCCCATTGGCTGGGAACCAAGAACCGCAGCCACTGGGAGTTGCAGGGGATGGTGCTGCAGGTTGCCCACTGCTTCCTTGGACGGTAATGATCAAATTCAGCTTTGATGTCAGTTAATTACAAATCCTTGTGAAGTCCATATTGTATTTTCTTATGTCAGGCCTAAATTTGACCTAGGGTACATGTGTGTGCATCCCCAGCCATCCTCTTACTGTTCCATAGGCTTGTTTTTCTATTTCATTGACTCTCCATTGAAATTAGTGGTTCTTTCCAAGGACTATATCTCTGGTAACCATTTCAATGGTTGTTTTAATGCATGGTGCTGGATTTATATTAATCTAAGCTGGCTATTCCAGTGCAGGAGAGCAGAACTGCAGAAATACTTAACTTCAAGCAGTGTCTCTCAGAAGCACCATTACTTCAGTGGGAAGATGTGGCTACGGGGTAAAAATCCTTTTCAAACATTGGACGAGGAGCCTGAGATTCAGACTGTCTGTCACCCTAGGAAGCAAGTCGTAATGGATTAATCTTGTGAGACTCTCTGAATTTCCCTGTTAAGTAGTAGCATGTGACCCATTTCTGCAGTTTAACAGACAAATGCTGTCTAATTCTATCACACCCTCCAGAATCCTATTTAGCTCAATATGTTCACATCAGATTGTGAAAAAACTCTAAAAAGTCTTGTTATGGCTCGTATTATCCACCCTTACACTTATTAAATAATCACCAAATCACTCGTGCAGCTCTGCATGCATCCCAACTGTTGCTTTTATATTGTAGATCAAAACAATGTCGTTTGTTTACTTTTCATTCATTTGCAATGTGCAAGTCCCTGGAAACCTTTGTTTTTAAGAGTTACAGTGAGAGTTCTTCATCTGTGTTTTTGTAGGATTTATTTTTAATGTGATATACTGAGCTGTGCTTTGTCAGTTTTAGTTATACAATGTTTGGCAAGACACCTAACCACTCCGAATCCATTACACCCCATGTGAAACGGGTGGTATCAACCTGTCACAGTGCTTCAAAATCTGTTTAGTCTTGGAGGCAGTTATAAAAGTACTAAGTATAGTAGTTTTGTCTGATACATGGGGATGGGAGGACTCTTAACACCATAAAGGAGGGTTTACTTGGGCCTTTTAGCAACCAGACACACTGTTAGTCCTGTTTCTTAGCCTTCCCTCTCTTTTTTTTTATCTATTCCTACACTCTTCTATCTCCCTCTCTTTATTTCTAATCTTTATTCTCTCTCCCTCCACCCTTTCTCTCTAGCAGCAGAAAAATACATGCTGGAAACCTAATTCCATCTGTGCTCCTGCACTGCAGAGCTTCCCCCTGCAGTGACTCCTCATGTATGATCTTAATCAGTTTCATTGGCCTGCCAGAACAATATTCCAGAGTGCCAAGATCTCATAGGGCTTATTGAACAGGCAGGTTTCTTCTACTTGGGTATGGCAAAACAAACAGAGCAAAACATGATTTTCCTCTATAAAAAATACCCCCGCGATATTTTGATCTAATATCTTTTTCACCTCCACCCAATAATTCTCTTTAATTAGAAGCTTTTCTAACTCTTACTTTGAGTCCCTTAAACTGTTAGGACCTTCTCCTTGTAAGTCTAAAGTGCTTGACGCTATAATTTAACTTAAAGGTGTGTTAAATTGTTGCAGGCTATGATCTCATTAGAAATGGTAGTGGTTTTCTACAGTAAGCCCTGAACATCTGTTTCAGCATCACACACTGGAATGCTGCGCTGGTACTGCAAGAGATGCTGTCGTTGAGGAAGTATAAGTGTGTCAACCCAAGTGACCCTTCTTTGGAGCTTGATCCAGTTTCCATTCAAGTCAAGGCATAGTCTAAGGTACTTAAATTCCCACTACCATTTCAGTTTTTTTCACTGTTCTCAGCAGCTGTGTTACACTTGAACTTCTTTAACCCTGCAATCTTGAGAAATAGGCTAGGCTGTATTAAACAAAGTCTATTCCTAAAGCTTTTGTACGTGCAAGCCATTATAGATAACATGTCCGAAGACAAATCCTTAATGCACTGTATTTAAACTGTTATTGGGGAGTACAGGGTCTGGCAAGGAGAGATAGAGAGAGGATGCAGGAATATGCTGGGAATGGGATGCGAGGGAAAGTGTGAGAGAGAGATGGGGGTGTGGGCATGATGGGGATGGTGCGCTTACCTGATGCCCCACTTCTGCAGACACATGTGGCTCTGGGCCTCCCGCCACTCCCATTGGCCATGATTTGTGGCCAATAGGAGCTGCGGGGGAAAAGCTTCCCAACAGGGCTAAGGGGGAGCAGCAGCATGCAGATCTGATTCCTCCTCCTCTTACCAAGCAGAAATCTGGCCTGTAAAGCTCAGGGCTCCCCATCACATCCCCGCAGCAGGCAACCAGTGCTAGCACCCTAGCCATGCAGGGGTCTGAACCAAGGGTCCCAAGCAGAAATCTGGCCTGTAAAGCTCGGGGCTCCCCATCACACCCCCGCAGCAGGCAACCAGTGCTAGCGCTCTAGCCATGCAGGGGTCTGAACCCAGGGTCTTCCCTGATCACAGACACTCAGATTAAGGAAGTTCAAATGTATTACTGTATGTGGGTACAGTTACAACATTCCATCCAATTTGCATCTGTTTCAGTGGGAGTGAATTGATATGTGAATACATTATGTGTAATCTGTATGCAAATCATGTGTCTTTGGACAGGCCAGCTACGTGAGAAGAGGCAGTGGTAAGTTTTTCCTGAATGTGGGGTGAACACTTATATGACTTGACACCTTAGATCAGAGTTACTCAACTTGCGGCCTCCTGACCGCATGTGGCCTGTGGCCCATTTGTTTGCAGCCCACGGTGCAGTTCGGATTTATGCAGGGCTCAACACTTGGCCCACAGGTGGGATCCTTTAAACATGGCCTCCACTGGGAACACGCTCCACAACGGCGAGGCATCTCCCAGGCAGGGTGAGCATTGAAAGATGCAAGCAGACCGGCTGGTTGGAACAGATGGGTACAGGGTGTCAGCGTTTCTAGCCCCTGGGGGGGAGGTGTCAGGAATGCTGGGGTATTGTGTGAAAAAAGCTATTTGCATATATTAAAATATATATTTGCATGTATATGCAACCACACTTAAGTTGCAGCCCTCAGCACGTACTGTGAGCATCATTGTGGCCCCTAGGGTTTCCAAAGTTGAGCAGCCCTGCCTTAGACATTATGCTACATTTAGAATTAATTATTAATTATTCTGATTCCTCTTTGTAACTTTATATAACTCAAGTTGAATCTTGTGAATAAAAATAAAAACCTGTTGACACAAAGATCTGTTACTCCAAATGAGCTTTTTTATCTGCTTTTGTACTGTAGCTACTTTCTGTAGCTTCCCTTATTTTTTTTTAATTAATTTTATAGAGATTCAACATATTAGTATGGTGCATAAGGCCAAAATCATTTGTATATCCAGTTTCTGTAGCATGGTTAGTACCTAATACACATTAGTAGTGAAAACTTCAAACTGTATGCAATTTTGCTTAATGTTAGCTGGTTGAGTTATATAAAAACTCAAATGGGGGAGTGGCACTAATATCTATTAGTGGTGAGAAAATAATATTTGGGAAGTGTACTGTAATCTTGAGAACACTAATGGTATGTCTCTACCATGGGTCTCAGACTCCTAGCTCAGGGGCCACCCCTGGCTGGAGCGATTGCACAATCTGGTCCAAGGCTCCGTGGGGGGGGCGGTCTGTTTCTGGCCCCCAAGTCCCACCCTTTCCCACCATTGCCCCGCTCTGTTCCCCCGGTAGCACCCTGTCACTGAGGAGGCAGCTTTGGGGATCATGGGACAGAGGGGCGCCTTTGGTGTAGTGTGGCCGCTGCAGTTATGCCCCCTGCACTCCCCGCAGCAGCAGGAGCCGTAGGGAAGCGAGTGCACTCCCCCAGTGCATTCTGCTTCCCTGCATCTCCTGCCGCTGGGAGTGAGGGGAGGGGCTGCTGCCTCTGCACTAGGGGCCCTTCACCCAGTGATCCTCGAAGCCACATTCTCGGGGACAAAATGCCATGGAGGGGAGAGGGCAGGGTGATGGTGGGCCGGGGCAGCGCTTGTAGGCCACTAATGGACTGCCCTCCCCCTCCAACCTGCTGGGAGTCCTGGGCTGGGTGGATTGCCCAATCATTCTGGTTGGGGATGGCCCATGGACTGAGAGTGATAGAGATGCAAATTAGACGTATTGCAATTGCTAATGAAGCGGGGATTTAAATCTCTCCCGCTTCATTAGCATAAAAATGGCTGCCGCTTTTTTCGGCACGGAGCTTTGCCGGAAAAAAGCACC